CTAACCCTAACCCCAATCCCAACTCTAATCCTGAGTAGGTTTCCATGCCATTAGGACTTTTCCATGTAGGTTACTAAGAATTGAATAGTAGGGGGATTGTAAATGTAAGAGGCCTCCATGCCTAACTAGCTTCTCCAAACCTGTCAGTGACATTTGTTTTCCTCTCTGAATCTAAGGGAGCCTAACCCTAAGTGAATTTCCATCCTTCCCTTCTAGCATTGAAGATGTTACCGAGTCAAGTAAACAACCAAGTTCATAAAGCACCAAGGACTCACAGTTCAACCCTAAACTAAATATATTCTCTTCTCTTCTACAGGAATTTGAGCTAGTTACTTTGTTCTGTGGAGAGGAACATTCTTTATAAAATCAGTTAATGTAGGTCAAAGCTGTATTTCATAGATAACAAGGGAAGCATGGTTTTAACTTTACTTTTTGCTTTAGTTGTTTCAAATGCCAATTTGTTGGCTTTTCCTGTCAGTATTGGTGGAATACTCATGTATATAAACAGAGAACAAACCCCACTCACTTCTAGCACTGAAGATGTTACCTAGTTGGGTAATGAAATACTGTATCTGCAAGCAAGCAACCAACCTCAGAAAGCATTTGGAAGCCCATAGCTGAAATTCTTTATATTATCTCTTTATATATTTCACTATCTGTGATTTAAATTTGAACAAAATAACTGTTCTAAAGAAAATCTTTCTTATTTCACACAGAGGACCCAGGATCTGTCTGCAAAAAAACTTACTCCCCCCAATATTTTTGTGAACACTTGAATTCAAAACTATTAATATATTTTGAAAAATATTCAGTACTTCCCAATTAGAAAGTCACCTTTTAAAAGGAAGGGTCTGTTTTAGTTGAATCAGCTCACATTTCAATCTATTTAACACAGGAAATCAAATATAATAAATCACAATACCTCTGCGGAAAGTTTTATCATTTTAAAAAAGCGGCAGCTGAAGTAGGATAATCACAAATTATAATCACAACACAAGCCTACCAATGAAGGATGATTTATGACAGAAATGGCTAGGAATCACAGCAACTGACCCTGAACATAGTTAACATGCTGTATGGCATATGCTGATTTGGGAAACTGTTATCCTAAGGGTTATAGGCTCCTTATCCTCTTTTCACCTTCTTCAAGTTAGAAAAGTTTAAAAGACAATTGTGTTTCTTTTGTGGAGGAAAACACTCTGCAAATATTAGTCTACATTGAATGTGCAATCTATGTAAACGGCAAGGGAAAGCTAAGAACCTTCCAAGCAGAAACAAGAATCTGAAGCTGATTCATAAGAAATTTATAATTTTAGTACCCCTAAACTGCATCCGAGGTGGTGGAAAAGAAGGTGATGGGATGTGTAGGATAGTTGGAAAGGAGGAAAGAGGAGAGGTCATGGTTAAGAGGGGGAGGAAGGAAGAGGGAAGTAGGTAGGAAGGTTGAGGGAGTGTGGATGCGGGGGGGGGGGAGACCGCCGGTTATTTCTGAATACTTACTGAGTAGGCCTTTTTTATGTGTTTGTTTTTCTAATGAAATGCACCATATTTGTATTATTTGTCCATATGTTTATTTGAAAAATTAATAAAATTTGTAAAATCGAAGAAATTTATAATTTCTTAACATGTACAAACTAATGATTGGGCTTTCTGTGATATGTAGTCAGAGAAGTCTCAAACTGATAAGCTACATTCTCAGCTACTGAACTATCTCAAATGTTACTGAATCACTCTTAAGCTAAGGCTAGTTATCTTGAAAGTTGTTTAATTCTGCATTGGCCACAATAAATGAAAAAAATGGAAAGGTGATACTCTTTGTAATCTGTATACAACTGATATTATTTTTTATATCAAGCCGATGAACATGAAATTCCATGAAAATGTACAGTCTATAAACTACATCTATGAAATATAAACTGTCTATAATATATGGAAATTCGGTTCAATTGCTTTATGTCTGGTCTAGAATTAAGTAAAATAATCCTAAGGATAACTCCTTACCTCTTTCAGTATGATCATTTTTTTAAAAAGTAAAACCAACAAATATGAAACTAATTGTCCCACATTTTGTGCCATGCAAATTTATTAGATGTAAAGATTAAAATATTTTTTGTAAACATTTGAACGACAAAGGGAGGGAGTGAAGAGGGAGACACTATTAAAGTACAGATAAAATTAAATCTCATTTTATCTGATCAGTAATTTGTCCCTTTTATTAAATTGGAGCTAAATCTGCTAAACATGCAAACTATCTCATACTTATGACATGGACAGCAGTCCTCATTTTCCTCCTCAGAGTTTCATTTCTTTAAGTTTTTGTGTGGTTTAATGATACTTTTTATCAGTTTGTGTGCTTCAGATAATGTGTTAAGATTTTAAGATTGCTTTTACCAATTGTTTTTATTTGCTTTGCAGTTATTGTTAACTACTTTAAGAACTGTCTTGATGTATTTATTTAATCAATTTATATTTCTATTTAAAATTAACTCTAAGGGCAACTTACAGTATAGTTAGTTGCCTGGAAAATGTTGGCCATAGATCAGCATCATCTTTAATGACACAGCTGCAACCTATTGTTTCCTGAAATATCTATATTGAGGGATTAAATTTTAAAAAATGGTGTTAAATTTAGAACACAAAACTTCCAGGAAATAATAAGACTTACCTACAGTCAGCTGTCCTGTTATGTGTCCCATATGATTTCTTGCATTCATGGTAACATTCCTATCTGACTGTAAGACCAGTGGACTGTCCTGGAAAAAAATGTATATAAACAATGAAATGAGAAGGAAAAACTGCAGAGAGCGAATCAGAGTATTCCTGTCAAAGATGAAATATCTTGATGAGATCAAGTTGAAATTCATGTTTTTATTTTAATTTAAATTGGTTGTTTTTAATGGTTTTTATAGGGAAGAAACTGTATATTGTGCAGGTCAGAAGGAAGGATGAGAAAATATTTGCAAACCCCTCATAGCCTGTTTCAGCTCCTTCCCTTGGGATGGTGCTATAGGGTATTGCATGCCAAGACAACTAGACACTGGGACAGTTTTTTCCCCCTTTTTCCATCACTCTGCTGAACACATAATTCTCACAATTCTATCCAATGTGTATGCATATCAACCCAAAGAGTGTGGCTGAAGCATTATTATTTATTCCTTCTATTACTATTTATTATTATTTATTAACTTCTTTACTTCCCCTTTTATTATTATTATTATTATTATTATTATTATTATTATTATTATTATTATTATTATTATTATTATTATTATTATTATTATTATTATTATTATTATTATTATTTTCTCTGTTGCCTTGCAAGTCCACTATGTACTTCTGTACTGAAGACAAATTCCTTGTGTGTCTAATTACACTTGGCCAAATTAAGTATCCAATCCAATCCAATCCAATTCATATTCTTGATTGTAAGTGAAATGCAATTAAATGCATTTAATGCACAAATGCAATTAAATAAAATAAATAAACAAACAAATAAATACAGTTTTGCTAATGGCAGGTACATGACAATATATAGAATGTGAGTTTGGAATTACACTATGATGCCAAATGTATCAGTTATTGTCTCACACAACTCCATCCCATGTTGATGCAAAAGGCTTACCAAATGACAAGGTAATATGTGATGGTGAAGGTTCATTCTCCGAGCTTTTGGTTGGTTTCCAAACATTTTGTTACCATGCTAGGTAACATCTTCAGCAGCATTTAGGGACATCCCTTGAACACCACTGAAGATGTTACCTAGCCTGGTTATGAAACATTTGGAAACCAACCCACAAGCTTGGAGAACGAACCTTGACCGTCATTCTACACCCGAGCTACAGATATTCACCACTATTGCAAAGGTAATATGTCGCCACTGCATATATGTGCATACTGAATAACTGTAATTTGGCTTTAAAGCAGCTATACTCTTTTTTCTAGTACATTTTCTAACACTGAAGGCAATGGGACTGCTAAAGATGATAATTAAGACATTCAGAGTGTGAAAGAAAGAATGATAAAAAATGCCCCTGAGTTATTAAGGATGAGGCTATTCCATTCTAAACAGCAGTAAGTGAACCAAATGGGAATCATTTTCAAAGGCTGAGTACTGGTTCCCAGCACTAAAGATACATCATAAAAAATGAATGATAGAAGATTCTCACTTTGTTGGACTTTTGGATGATTCCCGAGCCTTATTCACAGAGGTTTTAGCAAAACAATAAATAAAAAGTAGCTGCTAAACGAAATGAACTAAGCCTAGTTCTGCTCAAAATATTTGTTTTGTGCATCTTAGAAATTTAGCAGTTTTGGCCATGTAATGCCATTGCCATCTTAATCCAAAATAAAACTCCCTTCACTTGGCTTAAACTGATAGCTTTGGCTAAAATTCAAGCCAGTGTATGTTTGTTTCCTATTAATTATTTGTATTCTATTTCTTAATTCTTTGCTGGTGAATGTATTTCTTAGAAATTTAAATGTACATCCTATCTTTCATCCAATACATTCCACATGGTGCTTCATCCCTTCCTCAATTTCGTCCTCACCTCACCTCTTCTTTCTTCAGGCCTAAGACAACCAAAGTGAGCTTAATGACTGGCTGAGATTTAAACTTGGCTTTCTTCCATTCATGGCTAACTTTCACTAGCCCCACTTTCTTAAGGTACATTAGATTTATATCCCCAGAAACCCCCACTCAACATAAAATTCCTGTCCATGAGATTTTATGCACATTCATATATTCAGTGCAAAACATTTAACATAAATGGAACAACATATGTGGAAAAAACTATGCTGGTGAGAATGTTTCTATCCCGTTATACCAAATACAAGGGCAGAATAAAAAAAATCGATGTATATGAGAATAAATAAGTTACTGTTTATCTTGTTATGCAATACATATACCCCAAAACAACTGTTTCTTAGCAACGGAATACTTAGCAATGGAATACTGCATCCAGTTTTGGTCACCACGATGTAAAAAAGATGTTGAGACTCTAGAAAGAGTACAGAGAAGAGCAACAAAGATGATTAGGGGACTGGAGGCTAAAGCATATAAGGAACGGCTGCTGGAATTGGGTATGTGTAGTTTAATGAAGAGAAGGACGAGAGGGGACATGATAGCAGTGTTCCAGGGGCTGCCACAAAGAAGAGGGAGTCAAGCTATTTTCCAAAGCGCCTGAAGGCAGGACAAGAAGCAATGGATGGAAACTAATCAAGGAGAGAAGCAACCTAGAATTAAGGAGAAACTTCCTGACAGTTAGAACAATTAACCAGTGGAACAATCTGCCTCCAGAAGCGGTGAATGCTTCAACACTGGAAGTTTTTAAGAAGAAACTGGACAGCCACTTGTCCGAAATGGTATAGGGTTACCTGCCTGAGCAGGGGGTTGGACTTGATGACCTCCAAGGTCCCTTCCATCATCATCATCATCATCATCATCATCATCATCATCATCATCATCATCATCATCATCATCATCATCATCATCATCATTATTATTACACAAATCCAATAAGAAAGGGATTATCAGGTATGTTATTTGCTGTGATGGACCAATGTATATAAATTTAAGATACTTCTTTTATCAAATCTTCTTTCTTCTCCTCAACAAAATCAGATGTCTTAAAACAATATAGCAGACTACCGGTTCTTTGTGAATTGAATAACTTTTCTGTAAATACCAGGACTTTTTTTTATTACATTTTAAAACCACCCATCTCTCTCACAGAGGGACTCTGGATGGTTTACAATAAAATATTTTAAAACATAAAAACTGTATAAAATTTAAAACAGGCAAGGATGTTAAAACTGTATTTTTAAATTAAATCCTCATGGTGATTTAACTCTCATTAAATCCCCATGAGATTTCTTACTTGATACTCATATTAGCATAAATTGCTTTTCCTTTGAAAACACATTTTAAAGTTAACATTTGTATATCTTGTCTATTTATAAATCAAGAATAGTAATTCATGAGAGAAAATACTTCAAATAAATAAAATGAAGTAGTTTTAGTTTGTATCTGAAATAAAAAAGATTTCATATAAATCACTTTATGAAAACAAACTTAGTTTAAACAAAAAATTAGGAATTCTGGCTTCTAGTGCTGCCTTTTTTTTAATGGAACAGCCCTATACATATATATTTAAACATTAGGCTGCTATGTTTAATTAGGCTTATTCTTGATAAGAAATTAAGAGAATAAGGACTGAGTTACATGTTGCTATATTTTTGTATTCCTCCTACCTCTACAAAGTCTTATATTCTATGTTGCCTGTTTTATAGTTATTTGAAGCTTGGAAAGGGAACACAAGTTAAGAACATGTAATAGCTGATCAATGCAGGGAAAGTTGAATCCACTAAGAATAATCCATCCAGTAAATATATAGGAAGCAGAAATCCTCTTGTGCAAATAGTAGTTAAAACTAAGCCTATATCTGGTTTTTAACTGTTCAAACTTCTTGTCTACTAGAACAATGTTTCATGAACATCTTTGGAGGAAGTAGATGAGTGATTAAGGACCTCATGTGGTTCTGAAGATTGATATTTGTCTGAGACTAGGGGAAGATGGAGGTTCTGTCAGGTTTTCATTCTCCAGTCAAAGAATGGATCTGTTGGCTTGGAAGATTCTAAGTAGGAAGAGTTTGTTTATTTGAAAACATAGTCTACTCTAACTTCATCCTCTGTAATGGAATGTGTGGATGATCTTGGGGAAATAGTAGAAGAAATGCCACCTAGAAACAATCAGATAAGAGAGGCAGAATCCCCCAGTGTCTTAACAGTCAGAGAAAGAAACTTAAGAAGGATCCATCCTAATTGTTCAGGTGGTTAAAAGTGGTGGCAGGAAGTTTGTACTTTTGTCAAGTTTGTAGTTTGTCAGCTCTCTCAGGTAAACCAGACAGAAAACACTATTAGATGAGCTAAATCTACTTTACTGTAAAGCTACATTAACAGAATCTGGCAACTCTAGAAGTACAAACTTCCCACCACTACTTTTAAGCACTTGATCCATTAGGGTATGTGCTTCCTAAGTTTCTTTCTTTAATCATTAAGCTATTGGGCATTCTTGCCTCATTTATCTGATTGTTTCCTAGGCAGCATCTCTTTCCCTCATTCCCCAAGGTCATCCACATATTCCATGATATTCTCTGAAAATCTTTTGCTAAATTCTGAAAAATCTAATAACAATGATTAACCATTACTCATTTTATCCATGTGTGCATTGGTTCAGACATTCTTTATAGCTTGATAGCTCAGGAGCATTAACCCAAAGATTTTGACTTTGGCTTTGCCTAATACTGAAATGTGACCTGCAATTAAAAATCAACCTCCATTGTACAGAACTGACCTCCATTGTAGAGAGTTAGAGCTTGAGAAGATGTAATGCATTACTTGCTATTATTTTCCAAGAATGCATACCCCACTTTTAAAAACTGGAGGATTATGAAACAAAACAATACTGAAAATTCTTATAACAACAACAACAATTAATTTCAGGGTCTTTAAATCATAGAGCAAGTATGGTGAACTTCTGTTGAAATAATAAGCTTTCCAAATAATATATTGGAAGCCAAATGTTGATGGTAAGTGAGTCTTAAGCAAACAATGACAAGGCAGAATCAATATAATGTCTACTTATTTCTCTCTTTTGTATTTCAGTTTCTAAAACTTTCTCTCTCCTGGGTCTTCATAAAGAAAGCTAGAAAAATTGGATTTGACTGAACTGGTCGCAAGCAGAAGACTTTTAACA